ATGATGTACTCTTTAGGGTATAGGATCGAACCAACCTTGTACATCACAAGAAATACAACACCTCATACACTCTGGCAGACTTCTTTCTTTTTCTCAATACTACATACACTCTGGCAGACCCTCTTCCTACACACATACACAGAGAAAAATAAATACAATACTACATACTCTTTTTTTCTGTGTGTGTGTGTGCGTGAGAAGAGGCTGGGTGTCTGACAAAGGGAATGGTGGAACTGTTGCAGACTTTTTTTCGCCGTAATGTGTGAGAAATGTCAGTTAAGGTTCAATCAAACACTCTGTCACACCACTCCTTTCTTTTTCTGTGTGTGTGTGTGTGTGTGTGGGTGGGTGTGTGTGGGTGTGGGTGTATGTATTGCCAATATATATATCGTCAAACAGAGCTCCGCGGTAAACCGTAGTAGGCAGAGAGGGAGAAGAGGAGAAGAGGACAACAAACGAGGGGCTGTGAGAAACTGTGTCGTCAGAGTTTCACCAACTCAACAGGAGGCTGAACCCTATATATAGTCATTCAATGTATGTAGTCATGTTGATCATACAGTGGGAAGATGTACGCACTGATCGGATATGCTCATTCATCTTCATTGCCTTTGACATTCTTTGCATGTGATGCTGATGTCGTGTGTGCCGAAATTTAAAAATCAAAGTTTCAGTCCATCGGGACATCCGTTAAAATTGGAACGATACAGAGAAGATTAACATGGCCCCTGCACAAGGATGAAAGGGAAATATGCCACCCATTGCTTTTTTCCCAATTAATGAACAGATTTGAAAGAACTCCCTCCTCTTCTTTACTATAATTTTTCTCCGTTCTTTCCTGAAAATCAAAGAGGTATCTCTCCTCCCCCCCCCTCCCCCCCCCTCCCCAAGAAAAAAAACAGATGTAGAATGAAAATTCTGCGTCGGTTTATTGACAGCACAGAGCTGCGTGTGTGGTGTGAAACCACTTTACGTCTTTTTCGCAGGCCCAAGGAAGGTGGATTTCACACTTTGTTATGAGAAAGGAAACTCTCATAACCACCCGATTAGGAGCCGAGAAGACTCTTGCCATTTTAGTCGGCTGCGCAGAAGTGCTGTATCAGTGGAAATTTACTGCTCGGAACGGTGCCGGGGCTATCATCCTAACCTCAACGCGAGAGGTGTCAACTCAGGTACGAACCACGACAAAGTACGAAGTCTGAAGTTAACTTCAAAGTAACTAAAGTTAACTTCAAATTAACTTCAAGTTAACTAAAGTTAACTTCAAATTACCTTCAAGTTAACTTGAAATTAACTGCAAGTTAACTTCAAATTAACTGCGAGTTAACTTCAAATTAACTGCAAGTTAACTTCAAATTAACTGCAAGTTAACTTCAAGTTAACTGCAAGCTTCAAGTTAACGAAACACGTATAACTTTGTGATGAACTGAGTGGATAAAGTCCGGTAAACAGATCATGAGTTCGAGTCCTGAGAGATATACAATGTTGATAGGATTTGTAGTATCTTTATACGATTTCAAAGAAAGAAAAAGAGGAGGTCAAAAAAAAAAAAGAAAAAAAGAAAAGGGAGGAAGGAGGTGAGTGGAGGAGGGTGAGAAGGAAAAGGGAGAGGCAGGTGGTCTCTACAGTGGCAGACCAGTATACGAGTGAATGAAGCACAAATTTAAAATTTTGGCTTGTTCTTTTTTTTTTTTTTTCACTGTCATTTTGGTTATTGATTTGCCGGATTTTTTTTTTTAATTGTTTTTTAATTAAGTTTCGAAATTCGAAGCAATAGTCATTATATTTCCCTCTGCTATTTCACAGTGCACCTAGGTTACCAGGCCAGGTGCTCGGGTGGCCCGACCTCTGGCTGCCCGCCGCGGTGCCATGCAGCGCCACCCAGGTCCCCCCCGTCCCCGCGCCCTCTCTCCGGAAAAAAAAGAAAGTAAAAAAGAAAAACAATATACTAATATTGAGTTACAAACGACTTTTGGCCGAAGGGTCACTTCCAATTTCCTTAGTGAATGCAAGTTCAGAAATTTGAAATCGGATAAATCAAATCAAGGCATACCCCTTTAACCCCCGTTAAACCGCTTTAATCCCCTTCATTATGGTTTTAAGTTTAACCCCCATGTATAACCCCCCGCCCCTCGCCGCAGGTGAACACAATCACCAAATTCAAAGTTACGGTGGCATTCTGACTGCTGCACCCCTTTTTTTACCTCTGGTTTACCTGGGCCGGGGATATCTGGTTTGCCTTGCAGTGCCCCGGGCCCCTAGGCCCACATCAAGCATGTGTGACCTGGAGGTCAAGGTAACCCTTCTTTCATTTTTTTCCTC